AGAAGCAAAAATCCAGGGCTTAGCCATATTTGAGCTGATGGGTTCTTTCATGATGATGTCTCTGGCACATGTTGCCTCTTCTTCCTGAATGTTACCTGATTACAGGTGTCCTCCTTCTATCTTCAAGGTCTGAGATATGACTCTCCTCTAGTGTTTATACCTTCAGCATATGTGATGTTTCACCAACGAAGGCCTACAAACGATGCCAAAGGAATTATTTTATTAAAAAAATTTTAAACACTTTTCTAAATTATTAAAGAGGAAGAGAGAAATGTAGTTTTGATTTGTAATATACTCATCACATTCAATTAAAAGAATATTGTTTTATTTTTTTTAAAAAAATATAATTATCTGAGTAAGAAATTAGTGCTTACCTTATTATTCAAGTTAGTAATCCTTTATGATCTTGACATGAGAAAATCTATTTCTTTGTCATATGAAGTTGTCTAACTTTTCTATAGCTTCTATTTTGCACTTCTAGATAATGTTGTATGAAATTTAAATATGTAATATATAATTCTGCTAGTTGAATTAATCACTTCTTCAGTAAAATAATAGATGTTTTTCTGCTATTATGTTAATTATAATGTATTTTATGATTTATTTTTTATGAAATTTATTGTCAACTGGTTTCCATACAACACCCCAGTGCTCATCCCAACATACCTGATTGTTTAAGTGTTTCTCTTCATAATACAAAAGTTAATTAATAGACATCTAATATAGCAATTTTTTTTCTGACATAAGGTATCCTTTTACTTAACTCAAAATATTTTTTGAAACACAAATATTTTAACACAAATTTAAACAAATAATTTAACACAAAATTTAACACAAATGTAACAATTTAAACAAAAATATTTTAACACAAATTTTATGTAACATGATTAAATTAGTAAAGGGGCATGCTTTTTAAAATGAAAGAGGTCAATGTGGAGTTATAAACTAACAATCATGTTTTGATATTTTCTCATATAATAAGGATTTTTGATCTTATATTTTTTAATGCTTATTTACTATTTTTTGAGAGAGAGAGAGAGACAGGGAGGGGCAGAGAGAGAGGGAGAGAGAGAATCTGGTGGCTCCAGGTTCTGAGCTGTCAGCAGAGCCTCACTCATGCTCGAACTCATGGACCATGAGACGGCGACCTGAGCCGGGTCAGACGTAACCTACCCCAGAGCCATGCAGGCACCCGACTCTGTATTTTTCTTTTTTAAGTTTATCTGTTTATTTTTTGAGTAAGGATCATGAGTAGGGGATGAGCAAAAGAGAGAGGGAGAGACAGAATCTGAAGCAGACTCCACACTATCAAGCACAGAGCCCAGTGAGGACTCCACCAGGAATCATGAGGTCACAGATTGGACAGATCAAGAATTGGTGCTTAACTGACTGAGCCACCCAGGTGCCCTCATCATGTATTTTTCATCTAGGTCGCAGAGGTTATTATATACAAAGTGCCATAATTTTTATGGAAGATAAAATATGATCTATTCCTCTTAGTCAACCTATATCCAGCAAGAAATTTAAACCATAGATGAGAAGAAAGTTATAAAATAACAAAACATCAAATTCCCGAACTGCACAAAGTTACCTATTCAGTGATCACAACCATATGACTTGCTAGATACTTCACAACTCAGTAGTAGGTGACATAATTCACTTATTTGAAGGATGAGAAAACTATAAGTAAAGATAATAAATGATTTGCCAAGATTGCATCAAGGGTGATTGATCTGGCATTCAAAGCCATGCAGCATGACTTCAGAGTCCAACGACCCTAAGTTGTATTTCTATATCAGACATGAAAGGGGAGGAAAAGTGATTGCTAGAGAAGCTCAGACAGCGGGGAGAAATTAGAACAGTTTTTTTTTAATTTTAATATTTTATTTAAATAAGAAGCTGGACATGTAAATGTAATAATGATTTGAGAGAACTTAGTGATTCATCACTATACATATAACACCCAGTGCTCATCTCAACAAGCGTCTTCCCACGCCCATCACCTGCTGAACATTCCCCACCCAACGGCCATAGTAGAATGAGTTTGAGGAATGAAAAAAAAATTTGGGCTGAGTGGTGTGTGATAGTGAGAGGAAAAAGGATGTATCCATGAGGAAGGGATATAAGAACATAGAAGTTAGAAAATACAACCTATATTCAAGGGGTTGCATGCAGGATGTTAGATAGACAGGAATTTTATTCAGAATTGTGAGATAATGTCTACAGTTCTTTGCTGGATGTTATTTGCATAATATATCATTACCGGTATTAAACTAAATGGTATTAAACTATTTTTTGACAAATTGATTTTAGAATATTGAAAATTGTGTATTTTATATCTTTAAATGTCAATCTATTATTATTCTTGTGATATTCTCTCATTAAATAAGATATCATCATGTCATGAATTTGCCACCAAGAGGACATTTTTAGAAGAATATATATAATTTGGAAGAAGCACAACTTATGGCAAATGCTCAGATAAGAATGCCAAATCAAAACATTATATAGTTCATACCATGTTTTTTCAGGCAAACCTGATGATAGTGACAGAGCACATGGAAATGGCTCTTAGATACATTTTAAAGGTAATTGAGGTTCAACTGACTTGAAAGTGTTATTTATATATTGGCTATGATGTTGAAGTTGAAATTAAGTCACTGTAAAAGCAGAATTTTAACAGAAATTTCGGGTCAGAATGTTTATACTCCAAAATAGAATCTTGGTCTGAAAATTGTCCTTTTCAGAAATGTACACAAACCAAACCATATGTCCCCATAGTTTTATTTAAATATATGTTAATTTGCCCCCCAAAAAATAGGAAAGGGGAGAAAAGGAAGAAAACAAAAGAAAAAGATTGGTATGAGCAGTGCTGAAAAAAAAGGCTTTTTACAACAGTTTTTCAGAGTATATAATGTCAGAGCAAGGAAAAATGTGTAAAAGTTGGTCTATGCAACTTTTCTAGATAATAAAGGGGATCTAATAGATCATAACCCATCTGAGGGCTATCAAAGCCACCACTTTCACAGTGGAATGATTACATGATAATATTGTATCATCAATGTTGTCAGATCTTCGTCCTAGGAGTATTGTTTTGTTTTTATGTGCAGTGTCCAAATTTTTAATTGTTGGCAACTGATTATATCAGCTATGAAGGACAATGTAACATGTTTTGCAGGTCTGATTAAACCCGTAGGCTGGTGGTTTTCAAGATGAGGTAGCAACTATTACTACTGATTAGGCGCAGGTGATGGATTACAATGACTTTCTTGAGGATTATTCTTGCTGAATCGGCATTGAAGAGACAGCTGTCTACTGATAAGGCAAAGTTTTCTTCTAATCTCCTACCAGACTTAGTTGTCAAATCTCTGAAGATCTTCAAGTTTCATTCTAAGATTATATCATTCCTTGAGAATTAATCATTAGTTGGCCCATTCCATGTACCCGCAGCAAATTCAGTGCCTTTGGACAAAGACAGTAAGCTTCTAAGAAATGCTAACGCTTGTCTCGGTCATTGCTTCCTCAGTGATCTTTTCTCCCATTCATACAGAAAGCAAGAAACTCCTTTGTCTCTCCAGCCACTTCTTTTACCCAATGTGCCTATCCAGCTAATCCTATTTTTAGCACTCAAAAGCTATGTTCATCTAAGGCAGGTGCTAGAAGTTGGAGGATGAAATTTCCTCTGATAACTGAGAGTAAAGGGATTACAATGCAGAAAAGGTAACTAAATTAGATTTTAATAAGTATTTTGAAGTCTTGATCTGCTTTTGGGATTCAAGCAGAGACTGGTGTGTTACAAAATTACAATGTATTTTCGATAACTTTTTTCCATTCTCCTTCAGCTAAGAATGGCATATGAATTTCCAGATACTATTAATTTTATGCCAGTTGGAAGATCCTTTTCAAATTTTCCCAGTAGTCAGAGATTCATTATTTCACATCGCTACAGAAAGTATGGGTAATCACTGTGATTTGTTTATTATGTTGAGAGGCATCGCTATGGACGAAGTACCTTCCTCGACATGGGCTACGGTATAGAGACCCTTTAAGCGCGAAACATTCTCAATCAACAGCAATCCCGTGCAAAGTGTTCTGACTTTGACTTTTCCAGGGTGCTGGAAGACGCATCCGAGGCAGCCTATACCACCAGGGTAAGATCAGGAATGCATTTCGAAACACTAGACTAGACATGTTTTAATTTTTGGGGTGTTTAAAGGAAATAGTAAAGAATATTCCTCTCCCATAGGAAGACAGAGAAAAAGTGGATGGTGGGAGGGGAGATAAAAATGTATCATTCTACAGGTTGATAGCAGCAAAATTTGTATATTAAACTCAAATAAGTAGTATTCACTGTGAGGGTCATAAGATTTCATTTTTTTTTTCCAGATACCGAAAACTTGAGGTCAGAGTACATAACGCCGAAATTGTACAGGAGTTTTAAATAAAGAGAAAGTTAGAGAATTTCCTAACTAAAACAAATAAATATTATACA